AGAATTGAAAAGACATGTAAATAATGTTCCTTTACGTGCCAGTACGGTATTCTACTCTATTGAGATCGATGTTTAAGGTACGAAGTTATCCATCTAGGCGATTCCACGAATTCCCATAAGAAGATAATTTATAGCAAGATTGTTATGGTCAAAATGTTCAAAAGCTTTTAAAGATCTAAAATATTCCAATGGTCGTTGCATTCATTTTTGTCATGATGAAGCAACACCTTTAAAAAAAGAAAAAATGGCAGTTTCCAGTAGATTTTTGATTTATCTAAAACCGCGTGTTGTAGAGTGAAAAACGTTTCGGTTTCTTCCTGAGAAAAGTTTTTCCATTCGCATATAGAAAAGCCTCTCTAATATTTTAGAGAACTTAACAAAAGAGAAATTGAATTGATCATCAATGGAAATTGAAAATATAAAAGAGAATTGGTCGGTAATTTGAATTTCATTTTTGTTCCCTTTTTTAAAAGTGCATTAACTTTTTGCTGGACTTTGAAAAATATCTAGAAATTATTCCTAGCAATAAAAAGCACTTGAGTAATGTGAGTTAACGGGATGTATAAAGTTTTCAACAAACAATTCGGAAATTCATCTAAACCAGATGAAATTATTTTTAGTTTACTATTATTCAAAAACGATTTCGTTAGGAGTTTCGGAAAATAATAATCGTGTCGAAAACGTTTTGGAGGTAATGTTAAATTGGCGTTTTAGTCCCTTTCTTGAGTTAAGCCACCAATTTACAGAGTGTTGGTTGAAGAGATTGCCACTTTTTCCGGGACTACTGGCTTCTCCTCATTATCCTTAAAACAGATTCTCTACTAACAGTAACGAGATGATGGTCGATTTTTACATATTCCACATGTTTTAGTTTGTTACTAGTGTTTAAATATCATATTATGTTCATTATTTTTCTGAACTATCACTTTTCTTAATTCTTTTGCCATTCACGGAGAAAGCAGAAAAAAATGTGTATCCCTTTGAAATGTTTTTGAAATATCTGTAGACATATCTTACACTAAAAAATTCATATTACTTTGCATCTACAGGCCTCAACAAAAGAGAGCAATACGCGATTATAATTAATATTCCTAAAAAAACTGGATATAAACACTAAATTTCAGTAATTGCTCACTTTGTATGCGGATAATTTTAACATTGATTTTCTGTCGAATCTTTCGAGAAACCAGTTCTCAACTTCATTCTTTCCTTTCCAGTATAATATTACAATAAATGCACCCTACACAAGATTACCACTAAATTCAAAGAGGCTACCGATCAAAAATCTAATACATAACAAAACCACAGCTCGATATGAAAATGAAACAAAAAGATCAGAGTACAGTGATCACGATGCACAAATTCTTACCATGTATAAGAACACGCAAACACAGACACATTAAATAATACACTTCTAGTAATTACTAAAAGTAATAAAATTATTCATCAATTTTTCTTGCTGCAAGATCACGAGACGGGGGTACAATTACTGTTGATACAAAACTATATATATATATATATAATTATATTATATATAATATATATATATATATATATATATAGATATAAAATTCTTTTTTTATCAAATTTTTCACATCATTTTTAACACTTCTTTTTCTTCAAAAAAAGAAAATTAAAATATTCACGCGAAAAAGCAAATCTTGAGCTTGTGCCAGCAAAACAATCACGGACAGTTTTACCCGTTACTCTCATTTCTGTGATGATCGCGCAACTAGTTCAGAATTAATCCCGATGGGATCTGCTGGAACAAGAGGTACAAAAAAATTCAGTCTCTAGTTGCTGCTGCTTTCGTTTCATCGTAGTTGCCAGATTATTACCCAATCATCATGTTTCGTATCCGCTGCCCAAAATCAAAGCGGCCTGTCCTGGTCAGTCCCTGGTATATTACTTGCGCTTTCGTTTTCCATATTTGCTCGCTGATTATTTCTTAACCTCGCTATAATTAGGATTTGAATCCTGTAATTTAACTTTCTTCCATTTCCCCTAAAAAGAAACATGAATCAGTTCAATACCCACACAAATCGAAAATAGCTAAGTCACAAAATTCAAGAATCATATTTAAGTAATGAAGTAAAAAAAGAGTAAAAACTGTATGTGACGTACGGAAGAATTATTGAATTGCGCATGTTTTTTTTTTTTGAGTTCCAGATCCCTTCCCCTCATTTAACTATAAATAAATAAAAAAGATTTAAAGAAGCGCGGATTAGTAATATTAGAAAATCAATACAACATAAAATAAAGCAGGACAAATTCCAATATCTACGGGAAAAAACGAAAGAAACGAAATTCCACCAAAAACAAGAATCAATAAAAATGTAAACAGAGCAGGGTCAAAATATATAAGCGGAAATAAAAAAAACTATGCAGAAAACCTGGACGAAAACGTAAATGGCGCATTTCGAAGTTTGGCGTTGCGTAAAACTCGCGGGCCGAAATACGCATGCGCGTATGTCTCGTTTGAGGACAGAGTGCACGAATTGGATTCGTATGTTTCAAACTAAATCAGAACCCTGCTGGAACGCCCAACTTATCACAATCACGACTGCTGCTGCTCTGGGAACGGCCAATATTAGACCTGCGCATGCGCGGACTAGTTAGAGAGTGTTTCGGACGTGTGAACAAACTTGGATAATACAAGATTAAGACATCATGGTAAAAACAAACGAATTCTTTCTTTTCATTTCTTAAGAATCATAAGATCTCAAGATTTCCTCCTCTACTTGAAAAAATACAAAGTTTCAGAAAAGAAAATAAGCACCAGCTAAAATCATGAAACAAAATCAATAATTTTTGACTTACATAATAACAAAAGCAAGTGGTATAGTCAAAAAATCGACCAAATTACCTAGAAACCTTGTGAGAATGTTGTTTTAACAAGACTTTCCTCTCGCGCGTCTACTCGCTGCCATGACATTTCGCGACACTGCCGTAACGCCTGAGAGAAAGTTTAACAGCAATCTGAAAAAGTTGCGGCAACGAATGTACTTGCGTCAAACACAGGTTGAGTTATTATATTTTTTTTTAGTCCAGCTTCAAACTTCTACCCTCCCCCACAACTTCTTGTTCAGCTTATCAGTTCTTCCCGGCCATCATTCTCTAGTAGTTACATCATCTGAAGAAAAAGACGTCTAAAAAATGTTAAATTCAGTCGATACCAAACCAATTATTCTGTCATTGCTATCAAACGCCCATACCGTTATAGTATGCGATTATCTTTTCGCTGAATTACCCTCATTAGCGAATAGCCGTGTAATGTCGCAAAGCTTTTGTGATATCTGAAAATAACCGTATGTCGCAGGTGTATTCATTGGCTTAAACCCGCCAATAATTTCGTATCTTTGTTGTATTCGCCGTGGAGTACGTAACATCGTGGATACTTCTTTCATTTAAGAAAACAAAATACAATTGGTTTCAGGACACTAC